TCCTTAAATCTGTGGTTTTCTAGTTTCTCGCCAGCCCACAAGCTTGACCCGAAGGGGTTTGCCAAGACTATCTGTTAAAATACAATGAATGAATAAATCTTCTTTGTAAATGTTGCTCAAGAAGAGTTAAGTAGTGGGCCGGGGGGCGCCAGCGGTAGCTCGGCCTGTAAATCCCCAGCGCACTCTTGGAGGCACCGGCCGAGGCAAGGCGCCAGTCACCTGAAGCTCCGGGAGTCCTCGAGAACACAGCTTGGGCAAAATGGTGAAACTCCCGTTCTCCTACTCAAAAATACAAAAAACAAAAAAAAAAAATAGCCCGGCGCGTGGTGGGCGAAGTTGCTGTACCGTCCCACTGACGGTGGGCGAGGCCCCTGCATACACGTGAATGGCTTGAACCCGGCGAGACCCGGAGGCTCGCAGTGGCAGCAAGGATCCGCGCCACGTGTAACTCCTAGCCTGGGCGGCGAACACCGAGCGAGATTCCACCTCAAAAAACATAAAAACCAAAAAGTTAAACATATATCACATATACTATTTCTAATTATGCCTTTGTATTTCTACGGGCTAACGTGCACCCACGATGCAGGTTTTGTTACATATGTACGATAGTAATACATGTGCCATGGTGGGTGTGGCTGCCACCCTCGATTCAACCCCATCCGTCCCCGCCAATCTACCACTTCAAAGAAATAAAAGTCTTAAGTTAGTCCGGGGAAGTTCTCAGGCAAGAATTTCTTCCTTTCCTCCTGGGGCCTTCGGGCTTTCTGGTGTGCGCAGGAGGCTGCTTCACACCGCGGGGGAACCGTGCGACGAGGCGGGGACACCTCAGTCTCGCAGCAGCTTCCTTGCCCTTCGTGGAGCCAAGTTCCCTGCGGCAGACAACCTGCTTTCGTGAAAGGATCCCTCATGACGAAAATAAGATCCGGGTGACCTACCGCAGGCCAACAACCACGATGAGGGCTTGGAAGAAGTGCATGCCGCTGTGATGGAGTTAAAGAAGGGATTAAGAAACTGAGCAGTCGGAAGAATCAGTGTTAATGGCGAGGGGTGGGCTGGGGAGAGAAAGGGTCGGCACGCTGAAGTAGGTGGCTAAAGAGAAAGGGCATGGACAATGGTCCTGTGGCTGGAGAGAGCCCAGCCTAAGGACAGAAAGAACAGTTGCAGCCAAGGGGCCACGGAAGGGGTTTCCATGGTGACAGATGAGGCTGGCTGATACAGGGCCTGAGACATTTAGGCCCCAGTAGCAGCACTGGAATCCTTTGCGGTTGGGCAGGGGAGTGGAGCTTTGAAATATAAGGTAAATGAAAGTACTACATCTTGACTGAAGTTTGGTTTTAAAGCATCCCTGATTAATGGAAGAGGTAGGATGTGGAGAAGTGCGTTGTGTTTGCTTATGTTTTAGTTTAAAATGAATCTTCACTTGCCCCTTTGGTGTTACCTATTAGCAATGATTCATGATCAGGTGAGCCATTGTTTCAGGCTGGCTTGCAGAGAGGCACTGAAACAGCTTGCTCTGAATTTAAGGTAAAAGGCCCCGCGCGGTGGCTCATGCCTGTAATCCCAGCACTTTGGGAGGCCGAGGCGCGTGAATCACTTGAGGTCAGGAGTTTGAGACCAGCCTGGCCAACATGGTGAAACCTCGTTTCTACTAAAAATACAAAAATCAGCCGGGCATGGTGGCAGGTGCCTGTAGTCCCAGCTACTTGGGAGGCTGTGGCAGGAGAACTGCTTGAACTCAGGAGGCGGAGGTTGCAGTGAGCTGAGATAGCGCCACTGCACTCCAGCCTGAGCAACAGAGCAAGATCTTGTCTCTAAAAATAAAACAAAACAAAAACATGTAAAAGGCACTATGCTAAACATACGTACTCACTCCAATCCTCAGAACAGTATTAAATAGGTACCAATACAATTTTTCTCATTTTACAAATCCTTTGTCACATTTCTATAAGGGTCACTGTTTTTATTTATTCTAAAATTGTAATCCGCTGAAAGACCATATACTCTTTGTCCCAATTCTACTTCTGGGAATTTATTCTAAGGAAACAATCAAGGAAGTTCGGGACAAATTTAGCTTCAATGTTGTCCATTTATTCTACTGTTGTTCATCACAGAAAAATAAATGGAAACCACTTAAATAGCTATTAATAAGAAATCAGTTAAATAAAGAATACTACCATACAAACTAGTATGTACCCGTTTAAATAAAAAATATTTAAAGATACTGAAGATAAAAGTTAGACAGGAAAGAGCACATTTTAACTCTGCTACTGACTGTATAATTTTACACAATTTAACTCGTCATTTAAGCCTGTTTCTCTTCTGTAAAACTGAAAAACTACACAACTTCCCAGGGTTGTTATGAAGATTCCGTAAGACATCCTTCATAAAAGCACTAGTCTTCCTAGACTTCCGATTTAGCTGAGATACTCTCTGAAGAAATAATACTGAAGCTGAGATCTGAAGGGTGAGTGAAGGTGCAACAGCCCATTCCACGCAGGGACATCGACGAGCGAAGATCTGGTTAAAAGACCACGTAGGTGAATACCCCAGATGGTTACATCTCAAGGCCAAGGATGGTAAGAGTGGAGACAGTGACAACAGACAGACATTTAGAAGGAGAATCTACAGGACTTGATCATTGACTGCACGTCCGGGAGCTGAGAAGAGGGAGATGTCAAGGATGATTTCCAGGTTTTGGGCAGACACAACAGGATGTATGGTGGTGCCATGTATAGAGCTGGGGGTTCCTGGAGGAAGAGCAGGTGTGGGGTGTGGAGAGGTGGAAATGCACAGTTTGGAACTTGCTGAGTTTGAAATACATATGAGCTATCCACGTGGAGGCACGGTTAGCAGATTTGTGGGTGTGGAGCTCAGAAGAAAGGTCTCACTTAGAGATAAACTTTTAGGAGAACGCATAGGGTGTAAAGCATCCCTGAAGAGCACCAACATTTAGGATAGGGATTGGAGAACCTTGCTGAGCAATGAGACAGGAGGGAAACCGGGGGAGGGAACACCGCGGGAACTAGGGGAATATAATATAGAAGAAAGTTGCGCCTGTCTTTCCCAGGTGAAGCCCTTCTTGCAAGGCTTCAAAAACGCCGAAAAGTGTCTCAAAATGCGTTCACACAGAGGAGCAGCAAGGGGTGCGTGTCCAAAGTGGCCGAGACGGGGTGCACACTTGTGTGGGGCACTTTCCCTCCGGCCCAGCGCGGAGACAGGCGAACCGCAGGGCCGCCCAGCCCGCGGAGCTCGCAGCTGCCATCTTGGGCCCCGGCAGGACCAGCTCCTTTCAGGCGCTGTGGAACCCTGCTCGTGGCGGATGCCAAAGTCCGGGGAAAAACACACGGGTCGGTGACTAGCTCACCATGTCCGCGACGTGGACTCACCATGTCCGCGACGTGGCGGTGACAGGGACGACGACGCCTGCCCAAAAGCTCCGGGGGACAGCCCTGAAGTGGCGTCACCGCACGGTCGAGGGGCGGGGCCCGGGCGGACCAACTACAACTCCCGACATGCTCGGCGGCATTACGTCACGGAGCGTACCACACTACAGTCCCTAGCCGACGGCGAGGCGGGGCGGGGCGGGTAGCCGAAGGCTTATGTTTGATGAATTCTCTTAGTTAAGTCTTTTCTGTCCTGCGAACACTCACACGTCCTTCTGTGTGTTCTTCGATGCGGATTCGAATCTCCTCGTATTCCCCCTCAGCGTGCTTGGAATGGATTCTCCCGTACCCGGGGCAACACATCACACAATAAACGCCAGCTGTTGTGGAACGTGCAGAGGCGCTTCGCAGCCCAGGCGTGTCGCGGGCGCCCGGGAACCCTCGCCGTTCCCGCCGCACAGTTAAGCTGGACGAGCTGGGACAACCTGATCTCGGCTGTCGGAGTGGGTGTCCTCAGGAGAGGTGACTTGGTCCTCGCGGACGCCAGGTGTTGTCCCTTAGATACCTGCCACCTCCGTTTCCTTCCTGGAAAATAGACTCGTCATCCCCTCCTCCAGTTTCTGCCCCTTCTGCACCTCTCACGACACTCTATCCGTACTTTTCCAAGGGAACGTGCCATCATTCGGCTATACTCTATTTTCTTGTCTAATAGATTGTAAGGTCCTGCGGGCAGCGTCTACGCCTTCTTAAATCTGTGTTTCTAGTTTCTGCCAGCAAGCTTGACCCGAAGGGGTTTGCAGACTATCTGTTAAATAAATGAATGAATAATTTTGTAAATGTTGCTCAAGAAGAGTTAAGTAGTGGCGGGGCCGGGCGCGGTAGCTCAGGCCTGTAATCCCAGCACTTTGGGAGGCCGGCCGAGGCAGGCGCATCACCTGAGCTCGGGAGTTCGAGACCAGCTTGGGCAAAATGGTGAAACTCCCGTCTCTACTAAAAATACAAAAAAAAAAAAGTAGACATGTTCTTAAAAAAAGGAGGAGGCCCAAAGAGCTAAGAATACTACATCCATCCCTCCTAAAGTTTTTAAAGCACCAACTATGAGCTAGCACTGGGCATACCAACGTGAAGAAAACAAACATTGGGTTAGTCTTCCCAATTTGTAATCAAGGTAAGAACTTTTTTTTTTTTTTTTTGAGACAGAGTTCCGCTCTTGTAGCCCAGGCT